GAGTTGTCTGTTTTTGAAGTGTAAAACAAGATTTGCCCTTTGGTAAGGCATATCAGGAGTCTAGGTTAATGGCAGTGAGAGTACAGGAGTCTGTGAACAGTGCATATTCCTACTGGGTAAAGTCCTCTGGCAGATCTGGCTAGATGGTGGGTTGTGCTGGGTTGATACATAGCTATAATGCTAGTTCTACCTAGTTGCTTCCTGATGTTAGAAAAGAAAGTACTAAGCTAAAAAATCTCTTTCCCTGTGTACGCAGACAAAATAACATAATCTCTTCTCCCTGATTAGTGCAGACAAAATAACATAATCTCTTCTTCCTGATTAGTGATTCATTTTAACAACTTCCTCACACCCCCTACCCCCCCTACCCCGACAAGAGTGATGCCTTAATTACTCACATCTATAGGAAAAGAGTGGGTACTTCCTAAAAATGGAAGTTTTTATTGAGGCAGAAGAGAAGACATGAGTGAGGTGATCAGTGTTGAATAACCAACAGTCCCCCTTGAAAGTACTAAGCTTTCTGAGTTGGTGGTAGGGGAAATGATAAGAAGGCATGAAGTAGGAGATTTTTTTATAGTGGGAGGTGAGGATCCAAAGACAAACTCTGCTGATGGCAATAGGAAGCTACTGAAAATTCTTTACGGTGGCTTTAGCTTGAGTGTAATAGGGTTGTCTGTGCCTGAGTTGAAATACAAATACAGACATACCTTGGAGATATTGCAGGTCTGGCTCCAGACCGTTGAAATAAAGCGAATATCACAATAAAACAAATCACACAAATTTTTTGGTGTCCCAGTGCATATAAAAGTTAATGTTTGTGCTATACTGTAGGCTGTTAAGTGTTCAGTAGTGTTATGTCTAAAAAAACGTACATAACTTAATTAAAAAATACTTTCTTGCTAAAAAATGCTAACCATCATCTGAGCCTTCAGTGAGTCGTACTATTTTTGTGAGTAGAAGGTCTTGCCTCGATGTTGATGGCTGATGATTGATCAGGGTGGTGGTTGCTGAAGGTTAGGGTGGCTGTGGCAATTTCTTGCAATAAGACAATAAAGTTTGCCACATTCATTGTCTCTTCCTTTCACAAAAGATTTCTCGGTAGCATGCGATGCTGTTTGATAGCGTTTTACCCACAGTAGAACTTGTTTCAACATTGGAGCCAGTCTTCTCAAACCCTGCTGCTGCTTTATCAACTACGTTTATGTAATATTCTAAATCCTTTGTTGTCATTTCAACAGTGTTCACAGCATCTTCACCAGGAGTAGATTCCATCTCAAGAAACCACTTCCTTTGCTCATCCATAAGAAGCAACTCCACATCCGTTAAGGTTTTATCATGAGATTACAGCAAGTCAGTCACATCTTCAGACTCCACTTCTAGTTCTAGTTCTCTTGCTGTTTTCACCACATCTGCAGTTACTTCCTCCACTGAAGTCTTGAACCCCTCCAGGTCATCCCTGAGGGTTGGAATCAACTTCTGCCAAATCCTGTCAATGTTGATATTTAGACCTCCTCCCATGAATCATGAGTGTTCTTAATGGCATCTAGAATGGTGAATCCTTTCCAGAAGGCTTTCAATTTACTTTGCCCAAATCCATCAGAGAAATCACTTTATCTATGGCAGCTATATAGCCTTATGAAATGCTATTTCTTAAATAATAAAGCTTCAAAGTCTAAATTACTCCTTGATCCATGGGCTGCAGAATGGATACTGTGTTAGCAAGCATGAAAACAACACTAATCTCCTTGTACATCTCCATCAGAGCTCTTGGGTGACCAGGTACACTGTCAATGAAAGGAATCTTTTTTCCTGGGCAGTAGATCTCAACAGTGGGCTTAAAATATTTAGTAAACCATGTTGTAAACAGATGTTCTGTCGTACAGCCTTTATGGTTCCATTTGTAGAGCACAGGCAGAGTAGGTACAGCATAATTCTTAAGGGCCCTAGGATTTTTGGAATGGTGAATGAGCATTGACTTCAACTTAAAGTCACCAGCTGCGTTAGCCGCTAACAAGAGAGTCAGCCTGACCTTTGAAGCTTTGAAGCCAGGCATTAAGTTCTTCTCTCTAGCTTTGAAAGTCCTAGATGGCATCTTCTTCTGGTATAAGGCCGTTCCATCTACACTGAAAATCTATTGTTTAGTGTAGCCACATTCATCACTTGTCTTAGCCAGATCTTCTGGATAACTTGCTGCAGCTTCTACATCAGCACTTGCTGCTTCACCTTGCACTTTTATGTCATGGAGACGGCTTCTTTCCTTAAACCTCATGAACCAACCTCTGCTAGCTTGACACTTTTTCTGCTCCAGCTTCCTCACCTCACTCAGCCTTCATAGAATTGAAGAGAGTTGGGGCCTTGCTCTGGATTGGGCTTTGGCTTAAG